AAAATCACCTGAGCATTCCATTCTGTGAAGTGGCAAGGTTTCTGGACAACAGATGTTACAGTTGCAAGTAATATGGGGCCTGTCACACCATAGTGTCCTAGGGTTTCCTGGTGCCAAGAGCCCTCTGAGGCCACCAGGATCTGCTCAATGCCCAGAGAATTAGGAACAGAGAAGACCCTGAACATGGCTCTTCCTTCCTCCTCCAAGGCCTCCCAAGTCTTTTTGTTCATCCCATCTCATCTGTCCCAACTTTCAGTATCTAAGCTTTTCTAGACCAGGACTTGTTTTTGTTGACACAATCTAATGAATTATTTTATTTCTTAATACTCAAGAAATGATGTCATAGATAAAATGAAAACAGAATTTTCACACAAAGGCAGACCCCTTGAAGCACTAGATCCTGAAAAAACATCTGGAGTCACAAAGGGTCACTGCTTTGTTCTGTTTTCATCTACAGTAAGTCCCCCTGTTCTGAGCATGTGTTCATAAGTCCAATTCGTTTGTAAGTCTGACAAAGTTAGCCTAGGTAACCAACTGAAATAATCAACTGTACAGTACTGTACTGTAGTAGGTTTATAAAACTGTCCCATGTGGCTCAGCTGGTAAAGAATCCACCTGCAATGAGGGAGACATGGGTTCGATCCCTGGGTTGGTAAGATCCCCTGGAGAAGGGAAAGGCTACTCACTCCAGTATTCTGCCCTGGAGAATTCCATGGAGTACAGTCCATGGGGTCACAGAGTCAGACATAACTGAGCAACTTTCACTTTCACTTTTCACACAAATAATACTTAAAAACCCAAACACACACAAAAAATAAAGAAAACATTTTTAATCTTACAGAATAGTACCTGGAAAAGTACAATAGTACAGTGAAACAACTGGCACATAAGGGCAAGTTCACATCTTTGAATGTTCACAACTTGAAGGTTCGTATGTAGGGATTTATTGTAATTGAGAAGTGGGAGAACAATTGTTGTTGTCATTGTTGACGACCACACACGTGGGCAGACATTCACCTCAGTGTGGTCTGTTCACATTTGGGGCTCTCCAATGTGTGCTGAATCTGTCTCTGGAACTATAACCTCATGAAAAGAGATTACCATTTTTCTGCCGAGACCACCTGAACTGCAATGGGCATGAATGGTGCTGCTATAATAATTAAATGCCAAATCTTTCATAATCCTCCACTTTCCCTAGAGTAATGTTCAGCATTAGCTCTAGATGGAAATGCAAACAAGTACATGTAGATTCAATAATAAAGCTTAATAGATCAGGGAAGGAGTGGGATGAAATGAATGCTTAACACCTCCAGAGATAACTCATGATCATTTGCCTTTCTAGTGATTTCCTTGACTTGTGTTTGCCAGGACTTGAATCTGTGCATCAGACTGTCCTTTATTTTATTAATAGCCAGCTCCACACCAAGCTTGTTGCACGGGCAGTGTTTAATGTCAATCATTATACAGATTGGCTGGCTATTTCTAGAACTGTTCACTGGAGGGCCTTTCATTTCCGTGTTAAGATCTTATCAAGTTGATTGGAGAGTCGAATCAGTGCTGAGTTCTGCTCTCCATGCTGTGGTTCTACCTGAAGGAGAGTAACCTGAAGATCATGAGCCCATTTCTGGATCTTAGAGACCCCTGAGACATTTCGTGAGTCACCACAGCAAACTATGGGTTGGTTGGCAAAATTAGATGAGAGAAACAAAGTCTCACTAAGACTTTGCTTGTGATGACTTGCTAACAGTTATTTCTAACTGTGGCAATTTATTTCCAAACTAACAGATAATACCCTGCATTGTTTTGTATTTTCATTCCTCATACATTGCTTCATGTTATGCTCACTGCCACCACCCTGCAAGGAGTTTAATTATTAATATTATCCCGTTTAACTGATGAGGGACATAGATGAGGTGCAGAGACAGTGAATGACTTACCTATATATCAGAGTTTATGACTAACCTGCAGTTGAATCCAACATTTTGATTCCACGTTAGTTTTGTTTTGTGGGGTTGTTGTTGTTGCTGTTGATTTTCTTTCTTATTCTTCCCTTTTTAAGGTACATCCTCTAAGAAAACATTACATACTCTGGCTGGAGATGTTCTGGCTGGAGATGGTCTGGGTTCTATGTTTGCTGCCATGATTTATGAGCTGTGTGATCATGAACAGGTTCCCTAAACTCTCTAGGTCTCACTGTAGCCCCATTTTCCAGAAGGGGCTAATAATTTCCACCCAAACATGGGGCTAATTATTATTTTGAGAACTTCCTTCATAAGATCCAAATTGCATACTGCTAGTCAAGTAGCTAGGGCTTCCCTGGTGGCTCAGTGGTAAAGAATTTGCCTACCAATGCAGAAGACATGGGTTCGATCCCAAAGTATCATAGATTCTCTTAAAAAGTAGCTAGGGCTTCCCTGGTGGCTCAGTGGTAAAGAATCTGCTTGCCAACACAGCAGACGCTGGTTTCATCCCTGGTCCAGAAAGAACCCACATGTCACAAGGTAACTAAGCCCATGAGCCACAACTATTAAACCTGTGCTCTAGAGCCCGGAAGCCGCAATTACTGAAGCCCATGAACCCTGGGGCCCGTGCTCTGCAACTAGAAAAGCCAACAAGAAGCCCCTGCTCACTGCAACTAGAGAAAAGCCTGAGCAGCAACGAAGACTCAGCACAGCCAAACATAAATAATTTTTAAAGTACCTATGTAAAAGACTATCATAGAAAAACTGCTAAAACTATGAGAAACTCATAGTCTTGCTGTCTCTACATTACAAAATTCTCATACTGTCCCTCAGGAAAATGTTCATTAGAAAGTGAACCTAGAGAAGTCTGGAGGTTTTTCAGACCCAATCCATGTCATGGCAACCCACTCAGTATTCTTGCCTGGAGAATCCCATGGACAGAGGAGTCTGGTGGACTACAGTCCATGGGGTTGCAAAGAGTCAGACACAACTGAGCGACTAAAGAACAACAACAATCAAATACTTGGCACCTTCCCTGACACAGAAATAGATTCTCTAAAGGGTTAGAATCATTTAAACATTTATCATTTATTTTGCTGAACACTTACATGTAAACTAACACATAGACATTGCCTACCGGAACACACATACACACAGAAAATGAAGCCCATCACATGTCATTTTTAAATGTTTGAAATCTATTCCTTATGAGAATGATACAGTCTTCATTTCCACAAGGGGTTGTAAAGAATTATTTGTTCAGTCATAAGCCTGCAACTGCGAAAGAAATGCTAACATGCATTTTGTCTACTTCTCTAAAATCTTCCAAACATCCACTAGTCTCTTGAAGGACAGTCATAAATCCTGCAAATTTCACTCATCTGAAACCAATTCTAACAACTATCTTTCCCACGAATCATCCTTTATATCCATCTTCCAGTTTCAGTGAGCACATCCTGGTCTTAGGTGACTGAGCACAAAACTGGAGGAAGTGGACTTTTCGTTGGAGATTTTCTGAAACCCACTGTGACCTGAATCCCTTTCTAACATTTGGACATAACCTCCAAAATAATGTGCTCTCCTAGTTATCAAATTAGAAGTTGCTTTTTGCCTTCCAGCTTCCCTTCTAGAAAAAGCACACAAGTGGGAATCAGGAGATGGGAGTTTTAGGATGGACTGTAGCACTAATTAGCTGTGTGACCTTGAACAAAACACTTGGCTTCCCTGAACTTTTCTTTGCTTGTCTGCAAAATGAGGCTGGTGGGCTATATCATTTCTGGGAAGACACTGTGTGGAAGGCCGAGGTGGATAAGTTGCTGCACCTGTTTGCATGGGAACTGGGGGCTGGGGGGTGCTCAGTGGACAGCCAGTGCTGAGATCAGCCAGAGCTGGGAGTGGGGAGAGGGAAAGAGGATTCTTTCTGAGATGGAGATTCTTTCTTGGAAGTTTTTGTGAAGGAGGTGGGATCTGACTGAGCTGTGGAGGGAAAAATAGAACTTTCAGAGTTTAAGAAAGGACTTCTAGCCAGGCAGTGGAGCCTGATGCTGAGTCTGAAAGCAGGAAAGAGCCAAGTATGCTCAGAAACTAGTAATCAGTCCAGTGAAGCTGGGGCTGGCCCCACTTGAAGCCTGGGGATGAGTTTGAAACTTGTGTTTAAAAAATAAAAATAGTAACGCCAATTGGTCTTTGAAAAGAGTGTAACTGGAATTCTAAGACAGTAAGTCACTCTTCATGCTGTAGCTCAAGTTTGGAGTTAGAAAGAGGGTGGCACTGGAATGAATATCCCTATAGAAACAGAAGGCTCTGTCTGCTCGATAAACAATTTTGAAAGTGCTAGTTCATCACCCAAATTCCGACCACTCATATTTTTCAGGTACCTTGCCTTAGGAGAGAAAGATTTCTTATACATATAGTGGGCTTACATCTTTGGGATCAAATTTTACGGGAAGAGATCGGTCATATATCAAAAGGTTAATGACGAACCATTTCTCACCCAGCTATTTTGTGGCCACCAAGCTGCCACAGTGCAGAGGGCACTGGAAGGCAATGGAAGTTCACTGGGCCTTTTGCCTCTGTCATCCATAGAGCCCCAGCAGGCTCCGACAACAGCCTCTCCAGCCAGGGGCTGCTCTCATGCCCCTGTTCTTTCATGGGAGACTTGAATCATCTTTTCTTGTAGAGATCCACCGCCACATTCTGCCTCCACAATGATTGATCAGTACATTTATTACACTTTCAGTAGTAAAAATATATAGACTCCAGTCATCTCTGGAGATGCTGAAATAGTCCTTTTTTTCCCTTGATTTAGGGGAAGGTAGAGAGGGAGGATGTGTGCAGAGTCAGACATAAATATAAGAGCTCAAATATCTAATTAGCTGAAAGAATCTTGGTTCCCTCTGCACCTTTGACAGAATTGCAGCTGTCAGATTGGAGCATCAATATTTTATCCTCGTCGCAAGATGTGTCTGAGGATGATTTAGAAAAGACACTTTCTAACGTCAGTGCCACTGTTTTTTTTTTTTCTTTTTTTCTTTGTAGGATGCTTGAAGACGACTTGAAGCTGAGCAGTGATGAAGATGACCTTGAGCCCATGAAGACCCTGACCACTCAGTGCACTGCCACTGAGCTCTACCAGGTAGGAACAGCATAGGGCTCATTCTGGACCTGTAGGGAGGGAGCTGAAGGAACTGGAATGGTTTTGCCATCCACAAGCCTACCTGCTGCTTCATCGCTGGGCTTTGGAGCAAGGGAAACAAGCAAGGGCAGGCAGAGTGTTCTGGACCAGGTCAACTCAGCTCACACTTTCAGTGAGGAGATGCTGAGGTCTTAAAATTCACTGCTTTCACCCCTGCCTTTTGCTCCCTCCTCACCATATATACCTACTGGTCATCAAAAGCAGTATAGATTGTCCTTCCCTATCGTGGACTAACTATGGCCTTGAGTGCAGTGTAACTTTCCTACAGTGACTCCAGCCAAGACTTAGCACCCAGACTCATCCATTCCTTAGGGTATAAATGTGACTACCCACATGAGCCTTTAGGCAAAAGACATTTGGCAAAAAGTTGTTGCTGCCCTGATTTCTTCCATTTTGCATCATTAATATTTACAGGACTTAACACCAAATTAGATGGCCAGAATGTGTGTTTGCAGCATTTCCAATGAGCCCAGACCTGTTGATTTAAAAAGGTCGGGTGTCATGTATGAATCATGAGAATGGCAGTGGAGTGTGTAGTATCAGTGATGCTCATGTATGTCCTTTAGGACAGAAAACTGTCTTGCCTGTGGGATCCTCCTGGATGTCCCAAGAATATCAAATAAACACAGAAAGATCACCTTAAAAAAAAAAGCTAAAACCTAATCATGTTCTTCCTATAGTGAAGTCTGCTGAGTTATAAAACTGAAACTGGGATGTTTCAAGGCATGCTCAAGCACTAGTATTTCAAGGTAGTTAACAAGTACAGAATTCCACATTCACTAAATATTTTGCGAGGAGCTTGCAAAGAAAACCTTAGGAATTGTTTCCTTAATTTCTCTTTCTGTTTTCTCATTGTTAGTGTATAGGTATACAGGGGATTTCTGTGTGTTACTTTTATATCCTGCAACTTTACTATATTCATTGATTAGCTCTAGTAATTTTCTGGTGGAGTCTTTAGGGTTTTCTATGTAGAGGATCATGTCATCTGCAAACAGTGAGAGTTTTACTTCTTGTTTTCCAATCTGGATTGCTTTTATTTCTTTTTCTGCTCTGATTGCTGTGGCCAAAACTTCCAAAACCAATACAATGTTGTAAAGTAAAGTAAATAGATTAATTAAAAAATAAAAGAAAACCTTAGGAAAAACTCTCCAAGCCTCACCCACTCCTTTCTCATCTATAATTGTTGACCCCACGAGAATGCTTACCATTTAGTATAATTTTAAAATTGAGTACATACATCTTCAATGTCAGGTGGCCAAAATTCCCCTCTCCCTTATTTCTCCACTTTATTCGGCTTGTATTTTGGATAATATGTAAGAATTGCATCTTTGTAACTTCGGTGCTTTATAAAGACCAAGCACCTTTGTCTCCCAGGAACTTGTGGAACGTTTCCTGAATGCAGGCAATCCTTTTCCTACTTGGGCTCCAGAGCAAATGGACAATGTGCACTTACATTCCCGTGTGTGCCACTCCTGCTTTCAACGTTTAATGTACCAGTGACCAGAACATTATAATGGCCAATAACCCCTCCAAAAAAAAATCCTAGGTCATTGATTTTGACAGATGCAACATGAGTTTTTAATGAACACTTGCAGCAAGTCATCAACAGTGAAAGTAGAGTTTGGAGGTTAACTTCTTCATGTGATTATACAAGTGCAGTCTGCTCTTTTGGCTTCTCGAGTTGTTATTTTCTGTATTTATCTGAAGAAGTGGCATTAGGTCAGTTGGCCTGAATCCTTTAGGGGTTTACGATCTTTCAGGTGACTGTGTCAATGCCGTGACCCTCAGGTAATCCCTGCTGGTGAGTTGGCGGTGCTCCATGGCACACTGCCCTTAGCCTGGTCATGCCTTTCCCAACAGAGGTTCTCATTTGAAGGGGGAGTTGACCTGGGATATCTAAAGTAAGGCAAAATGACAACTTATTCCCTCTGACTGGGTCTAGGAAACAAGAAGTGGGCATAAAGTTATAAACATTTGCAAATGAACCCTTCTTATAGAGTCTGAGGACTAGTTACAAAGCCCGAAGGCTCAAGGTCAGGAGACAATTGTCCCGCGGTAGAAGGCAGGCACTGTGACACCAAGTTTTGGTGAGTTCTGGCTTTCTGGAATGCAATATTCTTTTTCAAAAATGCATGGATTGACATCATTTTCCTTTTTTTTGTCATTGTGGTAAAACCTAAATAACATAAAATCCCCTAATTTAAAGTCTAAAATTCAGTGACACTGACTCCATTCACAAGCTTGTGGATCCAACACCAGTTCTAAAATAGTTTTATCACCCCACAAGGAAATCATACATTGAGCTGCTACTCCCCAGCTCCCCTACCTCCCAGCCCTTGACAACCACTAGTCTACTTTCTGTCTCTGGATTTGCCTTTTTCATTTTAATGAAATCACATAATACATTACGTTTTGTGTCTGGCTTCTTTCACTCAGCATTGTGGTTTTAGGTGCATCCATGTTGTGGCCTGGATCAATACTTTCATTTTTTATGGCTAAATACTATTCTGCTGCCTTTTGTTCATCCATTCCTCAAGTGATGAACACTGGGATCCCCCTTTTGGCTGTCAGAAATAGAGGTGCCGTGAGCCTTGGTGTATACATTCTTGTTGAACACCTGTTTTCAGTTCTTTTGAATTGAATCTCTCAATTCTTTCAGTCTTTCCCCCCTAGAAGTGGAATTGTTGAATCATATGGTAATTTATGTTTAACTTACTGAGGAACAACCAAAATCATTTTCTTTTCCAATGAGATAACATGGCACCACATAGGTCATATGGTACGATTCCCTCATCTTTTAGTTGAGCCCATCACATTTCCAGCCACATTAGAAGTTCTGAGCACTCCCACTGATCTATGCCAAACATGAAGTTAAGTGCTTGGTCTTAGTCAAGCCTCATGGCAAATGTTAGTGGTAGATTTGGGCCTCCAGTCCAAGCTGCAGAATTGCAGAATCATTCTATTTTTGGCAGGATGGTTGGAGGGAAAGCATCCAAACAAATGCACAGGTGCGATAAATGATGTGTCTGAGGGATCAGACCACTCCATGGGTTTGAGCCGGCATTATGCATAGAAACTTTCTCAGAACCCAGTAACTACATTCAGACACACATAGTTCAATTTAAAAAAGCCTTTAGCTTTCTGGAGACTTCCTCAGATCATCTCATTCATAATCATTGCACCTGGACTCACCTAAGGAAACCCAAATTGCCCAGATTTGGTGAGTATACATGACTCTTTTCCCCAAAGCTCCTAAGACCGTCTGCAATGGTTTGTGATATAAAGAATCCCAAGAGAATGCATTGTAAATGCTTGTATGAAAAGGAAGCATGGGCTCAAGATGTGTCAGCTTCTAATTTGACCTTTCAGTCCAAGTCTCTCCTAATCAGAACACTATCCCCTCTCCCTGCCCTTTTACCGGCACCCTCCATGGTAGTATTGACTGTGCTGAGTGGGTCCTGTGCACAGACACCAATAGAACCATTAGGGTGTGTTTAAATGCTAAGTATTACTCCTGCAAACAGGGAAATACAGCAGGAAGCCTGAAGGGGAAGAGCATAACATACAAATTATAAACGCCAAATGCTCAGCTATGGAGACCCAGGAATATAAGTATATTTTTAAGATGATATTTTACCTTCTGGTGACTCTTTAAAGTCAGAGATGCATGATCATATAAGCACATGGTTTCAGTGAAAAAGCCCTGATGATTGTACCCTGAAAATATTTGTTAAAAGTTTGCATACTCTCTCCACATTCCCCACTGCATTTCACTGTCTTGGTTGGGACAGTTTGGGAGGCAGCTGAGTTCATAGATGAACGTAGGTGGCCTCGTGAAGGAGAGTGAGCGAGAGCATAGGTGTGTAGTCTGACAGGTTTGAATCCTAGCTCTGTCACTTGTCTGGTGATCTTGGGATAAAGACCTAAGTATCTATTAAAATGGAGGTAATCGAGGTAACAATAGCCATTGTTTTCATTGGATCATAGTGAAGATTCAATGAGTAAATGAATTAATACAGGCCAAATCATGTGAAATTATGGTTAGCACTTAGTACTCACCTCTTTACATCATCATCATCATCTGTTACTACTACTACTAATGATCTAAAGTGTCTCATATTTGAGAGAATAGTTATATTACTTTCTCTTATCTTGTGAGGAATGGGAGGTGAAAGAGGGTTGCTGAATTAACTATCTGGAAAAGAATCAGTTTGTGGCAAACTTGAATGAAAAGATCTGTCTTTTCCTAACACGTATTAGCTGTGTGCACCTTGCCATGAAGAATTGTAAATGTAGTCATTGGGAGCATAGCTTTTGAAAACTTATAGTTACTAAAGGGAATGGGATTGGGGAGGGATAAATTAGGAGCTTGGGATTAGCAGATACACACTACTAGGTATAAAATAGATAAATAGCAAGTACCTACTGTATAGCACAGGAAACTCTATTCAGTATCTTGTGATAACCTATAGTGGAAAAGAATCTGAAAAAGAATATATATATGTAACCAAATCACTTTGCTGTAATTAACACAAAATGTAAAAAAAAAATAGTTTTAAAAGAGCATGATTTTTGGACTAGAGCAGCCTGGGCTTCAATCTCACTAATAAACTGGAATAACCAGTCTTGTCTAACTCTGAGGACAAGATGAAGATTGTGTATAAGAAAATGCTTTGAAAAACACAATCGCTTCACAAATTGGTGGTTGTCCTTTTAAACATGAGTTGGAAGCCCCTTCTTAGGGGTCCATTGGTAAGTAGATCTTGCCCTTCATTTTGGCCTTAGCATTCAGTGGGATCTATTAGGAACTGGGTTGAATGTCCTAATTGTACCCAAAGACATCTATGGGGTATGGATGACTCTTCCTCCCCTCTGAGCCCCGACGAGTTTTAACCCAGACATCCCAGGAAGAAAGGCCAGGTTGCCAATGACACTGCCCA